ATGGTACTGGTATTGAACGCGATGACTAAAGCTTGTACAAAGGCTGTACAAGAGGCTTATTCCCCGCTAGGCGAAAAAAGCCTGACTTTAGCATCCGGTTTTGGTGTAAAGAAAAGTAGCTTCCATTGAAATCTAGGAACGAAAGGCAATACCTTTTGTATAGACTTCTATTGAGCTGGTTTTGTCTTGTTGCACGAGCAACAAGTTGAACAAATATATCCCGTTGTTCACCGGGCTGGTACTGGATTCGAAAATGAAGCAAATGACAGTTTATAGACTGCTCACATAACACGGAGTTCGTGTCTGTAAGGCAACCATCTTGTCAAATGCTTACGGAACTGGGCGGGCAGTTCGGGCAATCCGGCAGCACTTGCGCATCGACGTCGATGACCACGAAGAGGCGAGGGCAAAGTTAGAATGCGTGGCGCTTCGGGCTTGAGCTTGAGCGCATTCGCCAGCTTCGTCTTGACGGTGTTCTTCTGGCTTCGAGGCGATGGAAGGTTGACGAGACATACTGCGCCGCGGTATTGCCTTTGACTTATTTCTTTTATACTGGCTGCTAGTTAATGCCTAGCTCAGCAAAGAAAAGAAAATGGTTTTGAATCGAATGTTTTCTCGATGCTTCTGTTTAGAACAGATTTAAACATAACCAACAATGTAATTCGAAGAATTTACACTGATAATCACGCTACATCGAAGAAACGGTTGGTGCTGAATTTGAGAAAAGGAAACCAAAAAATTAAAACTTCAATTTATTTCGACATACGTCGATAACAAACGAAATTCTAACCTGGTAAAGGCTAAGGAAAGAAACTCAACTCGTATCCAGGATAAAACCACTGCATTCTTCGTCCATTTGTGATCGGCACGCGCTCTCACCGCGGCTCGATGGTGTCCGCGCTGTCACCGCGGCTCGATCTTCGTGTGGGACTAACGAAGCAGACAGCAACATCCTTGATGACTTGAGTAGATGAAGTCCTTCTTCTTTGCCTTCGGTTTTGGGGATGGTTTTGATTGTTATCGAGGAAATAGACCTTTTCTTAGAAACTAAAAAGAGTTAGCTCTTTTTATTTCAGAGAAAAGCCAAGTCGCTCGAGGTTTTGGATCCTACAACTGACAAAATATGGGTTGAAAACAGGTTTCCACTCCTCAAATCATCGGCAGAGCACGTTGGTTCCATGCTGCCAAAGAAATTTTGTCAAAAGTAGTACTGAAAGGAAAATCTAGCGAAGAGGGCAACCAATATAGCAATCGCCACAAGCACCGCTAAATTTCTTTCCAGGATTTGTCGTTGACAGCGAATTGAATCGACCGGCATTGACAAGGTTTTGGTTTAATAAGCGTTCGAAAGCAGATAGCACACAGGATGTGGCTCGAGTTTTAATACCAATGGTAATAAACTCTTACTCTACTTCGAAAACCGGTTTTGAGTTGATAGGAAAGCCTTGTTGAATCATCAGCCGTCGATTCGAACTTCTTTGTAGTTGGCGTGGAATTGTCGACGAGGCTGATGGCGTGTCGCTTTTGACGGCGGTTACGTTGTTGTCGCCGCTGCGTTGAGGCTTGGTAAACAACCTTTTACAAAGGCGCTCTTCTCCCAAAGGTGTTGTACGTTGGTTTTGATTTAAGAAACTTCGCGAGACTTCGCTGATCCTTCTTCATTACTGATAGAAGGAGCGGAGAGTCGCTCAGTAATACCTTTTCTCTACGCCAAAAGGGAAAGAAATGAGTTTCTTTCATCTGATGTCAGCCGAAAAATGTGATTTTCCCGGCTTCGAACAGCTTCTGGTCGAAGGAAGAGGAGGTTTTCGTATAAAGGCCTATAACCCATGACTGTACGCTGAACTGCTTCGACATAACGTTCGATAGCAGTCGGCGTAAGCGGGGTTGTATCGGAAAGAACTCATCTGTTGTGGATTTTGATTTGTCTAGCAAGCGGGGCCTCGGTGATCGTGCGCTCTCTCACTGCAGCTCGATGTTCACCGAGTTGTCCCAGCGACGGCGTCCTTGATCCATCGATGTTGCTTGCTCAGCATGCGTCAGTCATCTTCTTGAAGTCCTTCCGAAACGGGTTGGAAGGCACCCGTCGTTTTGGAATGTGTATCTTTTAGAGAGCATCACTTTCTTCGCGTGGACAGAAAGCTTTACTACGCCAAAAGAAAAGGAACTGGAAGAGTTTGAGAATCGCACGCAAAAAGCATGCCGCGAGCTTCTGTCCACGCATTGATGGAACTACGCTCACTGATTCTCAAAGGTATTGGTTGATTCTACCGTGAGAGTAGAACCAGGGGGAAATTCAGTAAAATCTTACGACGCGGACAACCAATATAGCAATCGTCAGCAGCAATCGTAAGATTTGTCCTGTTGAATCCATCTTCGAGGGCGAGAAAATGTCGCTCAACGTCGATAAATTCGTTTTGGGTCGGAATATCGACAGAGAGGGCAACCAATATAGCAGTCGCCACCTTCAATGCCGAATTCTTGGCTTGGTTCACACTTTCTGACATAGGGAAATAGGATTTCCCCCAGTTAACGGGCAATACGGAATTCATATTGTTGCCGAAAACTGATCAGAAAGTGGTTTTGGTCCAAATCATGGTTTTGGGTACATGATCAGCAAGAAATTGGAGCATTTTGATAGAGAATGGTGAAATGAGGGATTTTCACAGGAAAAAGGATCGAAAACACACGGGTGAGGGAAATTCCTCTTCGCAAAATTTTGGGACGAAAATTCGAAAGAGGGGGCAGCCGGCTAGCGCGCGGCTACCGTACCCCGGCGGTGTAATTCGTACACCCATTGTGTTTTAGGCAACCAAACTTTTGCGAATTCCGTGTTGTTTTCAAAAAATCCTTTTTCTTTCTCTTCGCTCGTTTGGAAAGTAAGCGAAAGGTTTGCTGATCATGGAATTGGTTGAAGAAAAAAGGTTATTTCTTCGAAAATTGCGCTGAGGACGCTATAAATAGAATCAACAGCCGCAATTCTTTGAAAAAATAAGCTGCGGGTTGCAGCTATTTCTTCGGTTCTGTGCTGGTCCGACAAGCGGAGGTTTTGGATGGTTGACATGAGGTTTTACATCCCATTTTCCACAGTTCTGTCTACAAAACCCTTCAGAAAGGTGTTTGTAGCAGGATCTGTACCCTCTTCGACTGGAATTGGTCCGCTTTCGAAACACAAAAGCTTTCCGGTTCTGGGTCAAACCTTCCACAGTTGACCTGTAGGGTTTTGGGTCGATCTATTCTTTACCTCCCACCGGATATCTGCTGCCTCACCGCTTTCGTCACGGGTCAACCTCAGAACATTGGGAACTGGTTTTGAAATTTTGAGCGCGACCAAAGAACAAAATAGCAAAAGGCGCAGATCGGTCGAGACTTGTCTCACCAATTTCGATGAATACGCTGATCAAGCGCGTGAAAAATGTATAAATCCAAAAATCAAACATTCACCTGAGATTCTTCGGAGATTCCTGCAGGACTCTCTGTCATCTTTTTGGCGTGGGCAGAGCCTGTTTCTCTTGACAAAGGTGCCGCCATCCAGAGACGAAAGTCGAAGCACTCCTCGTTCGCCGGAGCTCGGCCTAGGATACACCTCCAAAGGAACTGTGAGTGCGGACGAGACGAGGAGGCGTAGGGTGCTGCGATCATCTCTTCTGACATCTCGATGGTTTGCGGACCACCGAGCGGCGAGCGTGGCATAAAGCACACATCATCGCACCCTGGTTCTGGTATGTATTGGCATCTGATGGCCGCAGCAACGGTTTATCTAAGCTCCTCCACAAGTTTCAACGATCGATGTTCAATGATGTGGCTAGAGGCCAACATCAGAAACTAATGTATTTCAGGCGCCATACGCAATGAAATTACTCAAGATCGTAGGCTAGTACATTACCCCAATGGGGAATCGAAGTTTCCACGAGGGAATAACGGAGTAGAAGCCGTATACTTGCCGGTAAAAGCCGGTTCCATCGCGGTTTACATCTTCACTCATCGTCTTGGCAGGACTGCCTCGAACGACGGCGGTTTTGGTATTGGTTCTGTTGGTATTGGCTCTGGATTCCATCACCAATCCTTTCCTGTTCAGGGGGGTACGGTCACGGGCCCACAGGATAAAAGTCACGCCCCCAGGATAATTCCCCGAAGGGTAATACCCTTCGAAAGTCTTGCCTTTGGCAAGATACTTTCGACAGGGGGGATCTTTGGGTGTCAAATTGTAAAAAGTGGATTATGACCTGGACCAACTATACTACGGATTTCAGCTTCAGCTTAGGTTTAGGGTGCTTGGGCTTAGGCGGAGGTTTGGTTTGGCTTAGGCTTAGTTTTTGCTGAGGCTTAGGCTTAGGCTTAGGCTTAGGCTTAGGTTTTTCTTAGACTTAGGCTTAGGTTTTCTTAGCCTGAGGCTTAGGCTTAGGGCTTAGGTTAGGCTTAGGGTTACGTTTAAGCTTAGGCTTAGTTTGAAATGCCAAAGAATTGAATTTGTAAAATTTTCTGCGGCCCGCATCCCTAGCATCTTGCTAGACACGCGACCGCGGATCGGGTTACCTCGACAAATCCTCTTTAATGAAACAGAAGCCACTTGTTTGGCTCTCTCGATTGGCTGGTGTCGGATTTTTTTCCGGAAAACGCCTAATGGCGATCGCGACTAACCCCTTTTAGCTGTTTTCTCTATCGTCGATCATTTCGATAGAAGATTTCGATAAAAGAGTAAAACTGACTCTGTACTACTTTAATTATAACAAATCGGATTTGATTCGGACTTGCATCATGATTTGACCAAGATTTATCAACGGGAATCGCACAAAAACACGCTCATACAATACGGTACACAACACAATCACACGAGGGTAATATCATACGTTCAATTATGCAAATTTCGATGGCCCGTCACGGATTCAATGCTGATGATGCGGAAGGTCTCAGGGCCCAGCCAGACCACGACTAATGGGACAATTTTGAGCATGGCATGGTGATTCAAATTCGGAAAGGGGGTAAGCTACGGCTGCTCATGGGCTTTCTGCAAATTTGTTGACCCCTCGCATTCCGTCGAAGAACCCGTGGCTCATGTGTGTCGTTACGTAGAGCGCCAGCGTACGCCACACCTAAAAATTATCGTTTGCAAGCATGGTTTTCTATCTCTCTATCTCATTCTTTTACTCTCTCGCTCTCTCTCTCTAGCTCTCTTTCATTCTCTCTCTATCGCTCCCTCTCTCCTCCATTCTCTTTCTGTCTCTCTCTCACTTTCTCGCTCTATCATTCTCTCTCGCCCTCTCCTTCTCGCTCTCTCCCTGTCTCTCTCTTCATTTCTTTCGCTCTCTCGCTCTCTCTCGCTTTCACTCGCTCTCTCTCTCTCAACTTTGAGACCCACCCGAACAGCGTCCTTCTTCTGCGCTTCATCCAAATCCTTCAAATTGTTCATGTGGCTTGACAAGGAATATTCCATAGCATCCTAGAAAATTATATATTGTTAGTTTTCAAGAATTAGACGCCTCTCTCTACCTCTCCCTCACCCGCTCACCTGGAATATATTCCAATACTCCGCTTTGAAGCCGCGCTCGGCGAATTTCACGTGTTTCTGGCCAATCGTGTAGAGGAAGATCTCGACCCGATCCATGTGATACACGTTCTTCACTGTCTGGGCAAGGGTCTGCACAAATTTGAGGGCTTGGGAACGGAATTCCTTGCTGTGCTTCCATTCGTCACCCTGGAAAGTGGGAATTGGGAAGGGAAATGGGAAGATAGTACGAGAGGAGAGAGAGAGAGAGAGAGAGAGAGAGGAGAGAGAGGAGAAGAGCGAGAGGGAGATAGAGAGAGAGAGAGAGAAAGGAAAGAGAATAACTTACATTATACGTGGAGATGAAGGGGAACAGCTTCTTGCAGTTGGGGTTGTGGTCAAAGATGTAGCAGTAGATGGCGGCGCTGAAAAAATATCAAGTCAAAGCTACGAGTTAAGCCCAGGTTTAAGATTGAAGTCTAAGTCTAAGCCTAAGCTTAAGCTTACTAACACTAAACCAAGCCTATTTAGCTTAGCCTGCCTAACCTAAGCCAGCCTAAGCCTAACCTAAGCCAAGCCTAAGCCTAAAACGAGTCTAAGCCCAAGCCTAAGTGTCACTCACCCGAGCTCGTAGAGAAAATCAAAATCATCACTCCACGTGCGCCTCAGCAGTTCCTTCTCATAAACGTCCGGGTCCCACGACTCGATATTCGGGTGATGTACCCGGGCCATTGTCCCCTCGTTGGGTTTTACATTGCCGTTCGTCGCATCCATGCTGCCACGGCGCGCTGGGGACTGGGTCTAGAAAGTTTTTGTATAAAAACCCGGATATTTCCCGAACCTGGGCCTTTCGGTCGACCTGTGGCGTGTGATAGGGCTGATGCTTGGAGCTGAGCGTTTTGTCGCCGACACTAGAAAATGGGGCATTGATGTATTGATTCAATTGGGGTTAACGTCAAAATCCCAACATTCAAGTTCCCGACTGCCAAAATGCCGACAGCCAAAATCCCGAAACCCCGGATTTTAAAACCATTGATGGGCAAAGCGACCGGAAATATCACATTTTGGCTGTCGGTCTAGTCTTGTCGGGATTATCCCCAAACCATTCCTAAACATGAAAACTTTACAAAACCTCAAAAAGATCGCTATTTCGACGAAAAAAGGGGATTTTTTTACCAAAATCTCGATTTTTTTTTCAACATTTTTATAGCAGCTTTAGATTGGTTTTCGAATTTAAATATATATGATACTAAAATTCTATTAAAACATTTTTATTAACTTATTAGGCATTTAAAAATTTCTACAAAAAAAATCCGGTCCGCCGTCCCCCCGATACTGCGAAAGAACCGAACTAGTCTATGGGATTTATCGCTGTTTTTTCGGGATTTTTCGCAACGCCATTCGGTAGAGCGTCGAAATACACTATGAGTTTTAATTTAAGCCAAAAATAATGTAAAATAAAAAAGTTATTGCCAAAAGCTTCCGGTTGAGGATTAGGCTTAGGCTTAGGCTTAGGCTTAAGCTTAGGTTAGGTTAGGCTTAGCTTAGGCCTGGGCAGGCTGAGGCTTAGGCACCGAAGCGCAGTAAACGGCCCGAAAAAGCTGGCCACTGCCCTTCAAAGAACTCAAAAACGCAGGATCTGAACAAGATCGGGGGTAACTGGACAGGATGATGATGGAGGGAGAAGCACTGGTTTCTAGGTCTTTTGTTGCGCCCCATCTGCATCTCCAGAGAGACTCGCCTCCCCCCCCGCATAAGAAAATAGATGCACGGGGTGCGATAAATGCAGCTTGGGCGCTGGCTGGGCCCCCCGAGCTGGGCCTTTGGGGCCCTAGGGGGATGCTATGTATGTTCATCGGCTTCTCGCTCTCTCTCTCTCTCTCTCTCTCTCTCTCTCTCTCTCCTCCAATCGTCCATCCTTCTCCGTTTTTTGCCGTATTCTTTTCGTCTTCGCTTTTCCGCCTAGGGGGCATGGGGATCGAGCAGGATGTGGAAGGAGCAGAAGCTGCTGTTTTCGGATGCGGACCCTTGCGGGTGGGGGGGGGCAATTCCGATTATGCCCATCAAAATCGCAAGTCTTTGAGGAGGGGGGGTAGAAAACTCGAAAATTATAAACGAATTTTCAGAACCTCGAAATTTTCATAAATCGGATGCAGGGGTAAACGTTTAATTCCTGCAGCTCTTAATGTCGATTCATACTATGGGAATTTCGAGATACTGAAAATTCGAGATTCTGAAAATTCAATATTTTGAAAATTCGTGAATTCGTGACTTTTAAAATTCGAAGTCGGATAGGTAAGGGCAAGACCTGGGCAGGTCATCGCAGTCAGTTCTAAGCCGCCTCGCAGCTCTACAAGCCGTTGCAAAAGACCACAAAAATTTGAGGTTGCAAAGGGCACTAGCGGGTTGTTATTGCCTCGGAAATGGGTGGACTGGCGGGCCGCAACTGCTAGAAACGTCATGGGAATTTCTGAAAGGGGTAGAGGGTAGTCGTCTTGAGGTCCAGTCGCCAGCTGGGTTTAGAAGCTGATCTTTCTGAAAGATCCCTGGGGGAAAGGGCTCGTAATAGCAAGGGAAACAAGTATTAAAAAGGCATGAGTCTCGTCTACGTTACAGAAAACATTAGTTTCGAAATTGCATTAGGGCTGAGGCGTAAGAATGGCTTAGGTTTCAGCTTTCAGCTTAGTTAGGGTTAGGCTGAAGCTCATCTACGCTATTCCGGCGAACTGTAACCACTAGAACATGTTGCCAAAAATGCCCGTAATCCTATCGCCTTGCCCGTGACGTAAAAAAAGCTAATAATTTATTGGGCTCCGCCGCTGTAAGCCTGGTCTGAACCCGACGACGGCCTGCCCAAACACATTTCGCATGATTCCCGAAAAACGGGCAATAAAAACCCGTTGTCTCTTGGTGCGTGCAATTCCGTTTTACAGGTATTAACGCATTTTATATTTGGCTGAAACCGGCTATGGTCGGACACAGTTTAAAGGGATGGTGACAGCAATTTCACGTCGAGAACTCACTTCCTGGCGACGGCCCGATAGAATATCGTCGACAGCATTCAAGGGAATCAAGCTTTAATGAATTTTGCTTCAGCTTCCCGTTGTTTAACCACTGCTTAAAATAGGAGATGGTTCTGGGGCGGCAGAGAACACAAATAGATTAGGAAATGAGGGGCTGATGAATATTATTTTTGGGGAGAGAGAGATAGAGGAGAGAGAGTGAAAGAGAGGAGAGCGAGAGAGAGCGAGCGAGGGAGAGAGAGCAAAATTCAAATTGACTCTCTGCTTGATCAACACCCCGTTGGTAACGGGAACAACAGCAACGGCTTGGCGTTAGGCTTGAGCTTGAGCTTAGGCTTAGGCTTAGGCTTAGACTACGCCGAGGTTTATTTTATTAGCTTAGTCACAAAGTCGGCTTCACCCAACCGTGAGAACCGAAGCTGGATGAGAAATTGGTAAGAGACAGGCACATACACCCGCGCAGACAGCAAGAAAAAGGTTGTAAAACGTGAGCCCGAGCAAAAGTGACGGAAGGCGACTTCCGGATATTTTGCGCAATTTTGTCGCAGGCCCACACCCACACCCACACCCTGAATGAGACCCGCTGAAATCTGCACTTTTTCGGTTTTCAACCCGTGGGGGTAAAGGTTTCGGGGGTGTCGCACGTAATTTTGTTATGCTGGGGTGGGCATGGCGGCCGGATGGTGGAATGTTTGGGCGGAAAGTCAACCGCAACAGCTTTCCCCCCACCACAAACAAACACCTTCTAAGGCGCTAAGTGGATTCACGCGTGAAAATGCCGGTTCGAAGGGGGAATCAAAAAGCGCCAAGCTGACGAGGAATGGTTCTTACAAGGAGGCGTTATTAGTGACAAACGAGGTCCGTACGGGACTAAGACGATCTTGTGCCGATTTTGCGCTGATTCTAAGCCGTTTTTGAACATCCACGAACAATCGCATCAAAAAGTTGTGAAGCTTTTTAGGGCGGGAACGGCAAAATTTGCCGACATTGGGCCATTTTGACCATTTTTTCTCACTTAAAATCATCATAGTTTTTGGACACTATCGTTTTGTCGATTTTGAAAAGACTCGAAACAGCGCAATTTTTTGCACAAGACTGGCTTCGCTAAAAAACGTCTCCTTGTTGGGTGATATTGGACTGGTGTGATGTGACATAGCTCATTCGAGACAGCTTTAAATTTTTAACCATCATCGTTCAGCAGCTTTAGAAAGAGGAGCTTTGAAGCCCTATCAAATAAGATCGCTATGTCGCATCGCACAATTTCAAGATCACCTAAAAACCGCTGCTTGTTAGAGGGATAAAAAGATGATGACAACCACCTCCAAACGATCCTAGAGAGTGGGCCCACCAAGAAGTTCAAAGAGTTCCACCCCTGCAGCTCATTGCGAAGTCGCGAGCCTAGAGGTCGAGAGGCGGAATTGGGCATTCAGAGGGTCCACCCGTTCTTTTTTGCCTATTTTGTTGAGGGCGTTGAGGTACAACACACCCCCACGGGACCTCGTTAGCGATGGGTTCCGGGAGCGCCTTCCGATGTCTTCTGCGTTGACGCAACGGAATTCAAGGAGCTGCCGTAAATGTCAAGGGGCTTTGAAAGTTTTAGTCGAAATGTATAATGAAATATAATGAAACGTTATCGACGTCTAGGTGTCGATTTTGTTGCCCCGGAGAGAGGGCTAGAGAGAGAGAGAGAGAGAGAGAGAGAGAGAGAGAGAGAGAGAGAGAGAGAAGGAGAATGAGATAGACAGAGTGAGAGCGTTAGAGAACTTAGATTCTGCCTGTTGGAAACCAGCCTTTCAAATCGGGTCGTTTTTATTTACTGTCACCATCCCTTTAATACCCCATGGACTCGCAATTTCCATATTGTAATATTATTTGTCTTAACGATAACTCTCAATTTTTAGATTTCTCTAGGATATTTTTCTCTTCAATTAAAACGCCCCAGCACTGACCTGTTCTGCGTTGACGGCCCGTGGAAGTAGCTGAACATCGTGTTGAAGAACCCGCGCGCCTTTTCCAGTGATGGCATTGCGCTGAAAGTAGCTACATCATACAATACATTCAAGGCCATAAAAATGCTTAAAAAATGTGCTTACAGTAGTAAACGCTAGGAATCAGTGTTTTGGATAAAATTGAAGATTTCTGTTCGTTTCACGGGCTTCACCGCGGGGGTCAACCGGCTAATCCGCCACACCGAGCGTAAACTCCAATTTCGGAGAAGAATGGAGCATTGGCTGGGAGGATTTTCGAGCACCATGGAGCGAGAAGGGACCGATATATTTGGGGGAATCCTCAAAACTTCAAATTAATTTTTGGATCCCGTGAGGCAGACAGGAGGATTTGAGGATTGGAGACCTGTTCTATGTCTTGGGATAGGCAGGTGGTATGAATCGTTTGCTTAGGCTTAGGCTTCGGTCTAGGCTTCAGCTTAGTTTCAAGCAAACTCAATGAATAAAGTGAACAGCCAAGTTCAGGCGGCAATTAGGCCGGGCGGATCCGGCCCAACTCACTGACGCGCGTCTGATTCGTCCGGGACAATAAATCAGCCAATAAAAGACCCGGAAAGGAGGTAGAAAGAGATGAATTGGCCAGACCAAGTAAATAGACTCTCACGCGAAATATTATCACGCATGGCCCCACGCTGTGGTGATGAATATTGGAGTAATCGGCCTGGGGGGCGTCTGGGGAGGGAGGCTGCACCATTCGGGATCTATGAGAATGAGGGGAATCTAGCAAAGTCTCGAAAATCAGAATCTTGTATAACAGGATTTTGAGGAAAATCGAAAATGAGGCGACTAGCCGAGATCGGAAAGTTCGCTATGAAGATCCGAATTTTTAGCTGATGGATATCAGACAAAACGGCTTCTGGTTAGGAAGCTCAGGTAGCGGGCTGAAATGTATGTATCGCCAGTTACTAAGTATTAGCACCAGACTCAGAGCCCCGAGCAGCTGAAACCTTCCAACCGCATGACTTCCATTATCAAGAAACCATCTGCCATCAACGCGATTTCGCAGCTATGAATGAGTTGAGAAATAGATCTAGAGAGGGAGAGAGAGAGAGAGAGAGAGAGAGAGAGAGAGAGAGAGAGGGAGACATGCCCCTACCCTAAAAATCCCAAAACATTTTGCAAAGATCCAGATTACGTAGCGGCGCGCCCCCGCAAAAAACTACTCAAATCTCGTGGATCATGTGCCCCTCGGAAACCCCGATGTGTTGTGAGGAAAAAGCGGAAAGGCGAGCAAAATGAAGAGCGGCTCATTCCGGATGAGATTGGAGGGTGAGCATGAGAGAAAGGGCAACAAAACTTTGCAGAGATCCCGGGGCAATGAGGCGAGAACTGCTGGAAAGGAAGAAAGAGATTGCAGCCCCTCCTATTGTTAATCATTGACTTAAGCCTGAGAGAAACCCTAAGCTAAGCCTAAACATAAGCCTAGATAAAACATAAACCTAAGCCTAAGCCTAAGCCTAAGCCTAAGCCTAAGCCTAAGCCTAAGCCTAAGCCTAAGCCTAAGCCTAAGCCTAAGCCTAAGCTCAAGCCTAAGCCAAGCCCAAGCCCAAGGCTAAGCGTAAGCCTAAGCTTAATCTAAGCATACGCCTGAGCTTACGCCTAAGCCAAAATGGGTCATTCTGGGCCTGGTGCAGGACGTGCCATTCCCTGAAGGATCCCCCCTTTCAAGGTCCTCGTCCCCCGCTGCTGCTATTCAAGACCGGGACCAAAAGTTGCCTAGCTAATAAGCTCTGACCGGGCGTCTGAGCCCCAGTGGCGTAAGATATTCTGCACAAACTCACAGGACGAAGCCACCTCTCTCTTTTAATTGCAAGCCTTCCCGCCATTGCTACGGCAGTTAATGACATCGACGTGTGGGACAGTAATTGCAATGGCGTAATTAAAATGGGTTATTTTGAAATCGAGTCCAAAAGCCTGTTTTTGCACTGGACGACCAGAGAGAGAACGAGGGAGAGAGAGAGAGAGAGCGTGGGAGGCTCAGAGAGTGAGAGGGTGAGAGGGAAAGAGAGCGAGGGAGAGGGAGACAGAGTAAGAGAAAGTGAGAGAGAAAGAGAGGGAGAGGGAGTGAGAGAGGGAGATTTCACAATAACCTGTTATTTCTAGAATTAACGTGAATTTGTTGAAACCATAGCTTCTCAGACCTCCACCACGAGTGAAGATATTTTTTTGCGTCTTGTCATTCATTTTCCCCGAAGCCCGCAGGCTAGCACTGGAAAATGAGCCCGGGGCGTGGGAATTTCAATTTGTTAGCGTCCCAGCGCCCCTTTTCTCATGCTCCACTCGACTCCGCGCCGGGCTGAGGCTCATTTTTCGGTTCTCAATTTCCTCTCCGGGCCCCAGGAAGACGATGGTCATCATCACCGGGGCTATGGCGGTTCGAAATTTGATCGCTGGAGTAATTCTGGCAGCATGGCTGGCGGAGGGGCGGATTAGTTCTCGAAATGGCCAGGAGAGCGTTAGGTATCGCTTTGGGAGAGCTTGGAAATGTTTAGAATAACACCGATTTTTATGGTCGTCTGGCTACCAATCATAATTTAGGAACGGGGGCCTCGAAACAAACCTATTAACCTGAAAGATTGTGAAGAGGGGAGCGAGCAAGCCAGTTCGAGAGAGAACGCGAGAGAGAGAGAGAGAGAGAGAGAGAGAGAGAGAGAGAGAGAGATAGAGAGGGAGAGAGATCAGATTCGCGAAGGTTCATTTCGTCGAAAATTTCGATCCGAAAGCCAAGGCCGAAACAGCGAGATACTTTCGGTGCGAAAAAAACGCAATGAAACGCAAAAATCCCGAAATTCAAAATACCGACAGCGAAAATCCCGACATACAAATTACCGACAACAAAAATGATTTCCGGTGGTTTTTATGTGATATGAATGGTTTTAAAAACAGGGGTTTCTGGGTGTCGGGATTTTGGCTGTCGGGATTTCGAATGTCGAGATTTCGTATGTCGGCATTTTTTACATTTTCGTACATGGCCTAGCAAAGTTTTCCCCCAAGACCCGGTGATCGAAACTTACAGCAAGTCATCCTTAATCGCCTGCATCTGGGTCAGCTGCGGCATTTCGACGGGAAAGCCGAGAATATTGGAGCTGCGCCGCTGTTCCGACTCCATCCTCTTCCCCCACCGGGTCGATTTGAATAATGGAGAGCAGAAAAAAGGAAGTGGACGCGCCGGAAGCGCGGCGTACTGGCTCGGAATTGCCGGGGACCACCTTGTTGCTGGATGGGCAGGAGGGCCGCCCCGGGGGAGACGATAGATTCGATTACCCCGTCGGAAGCCCCTTTTCACGTCAATAGCATTTCTGGGATGTGTTTTCTCGCGTCGGCCACGGGAAGAGGAAATCCAAAAGTTTGAATCGATCACAGAGGGCCTGCTATTTTTGTTCGCAAACTCCCGGAAGCCCGCGGTTTGACACGGTCCGTTGCCCAACACCAAAAAGAACAATTTTGCGGGCACTGCGTGTACTAGAAGTAATCGGGAAGAGCCAAAATCTCGACATCCAAGCACCGACAGCCAAAATACCGACAGCGAAAATCCCGACAACCAGAAGCCCCGGATTTTAAAACCATTTATGCGTAAAAAGACCTGAAATTTCACATTTTGGCTGCCGGTATTCTGCCTGTCGGGATTTTCCTTTCAGTATTTTTTTACTATCGGCATTATCGTTGTCGGTATTTTGAATGTCGGGATTTTGGCTGGAATTCGAAGTAATCCTTCCGGAAGAGTCCTTGTGTCAATCTCAAGTCAACCAATAAAGATTGAACCTACCAACAGCAAATCCGGCCCGCGCCACCATTCTCCGGAGCTTCTGCGTTTTCCTTCTCGTTGCTGTTGCTCATTTTGCTGGCTTCCTTGTTGTATGAACAACTGAAACGATGGGTGTTTCAGGGTTTGTTAGGTGCGATTGGAGCCAGGAAAGATTGTTCGAAAAGCATAGAATGTTTTGGCAAAATGGAAGATGGTTTTAAAAAACGGCTTTCGAAAAATGGCCCTAAAATGTGCTCTGCAAAAGCTTTGAATAGCCGAAAATGTGGTGTTACGTGGGATTTTAGGCGTCCCAAAGCGCCCAAATGTTGTTTGGGGGGACAAACGAGGCTAATTTGAGGAGAGGGAGACCCGGAAGCTAGGTAGAAACAGAACAGAAACCCCTTAGATCTAAGCAAGATTTTTTGGAACTGGAATTTCCTGGTGGTCGCAACGGTTTTTACGTTCATTGAAGGTTATGAACTCTGGGGTTTGCGCGATGGAGAGAGAAAGAGAGAGAGAGAGAGAGAGAGAGAGAGAGAGAGAGAGAGAGAGAGAGAGAGAGAGAGAGCGAGAGAGATAGAGACACAGATGGGGAGTGAGATCGAGATCAAGAGAGGGAGTGAGAGAGAGGGAGAGAGAGAGATCGAGATTAAGCGAGAGAAAGAGTGAGAGAGAGCGAGATTAAGCGAGAGAGAGTGAGAGAGCGAGATGAGAGAGAGAGTGCGAGTGAGAGAGAGACTACAAGATCTCAAAAAAAACTACAAAAAACCAGCCTTGTCATTCTACAGCAAAGAAAAGGGCGTGGCTTGCACGGCGTTGGTCGCAATCTATACATTGCTGAGCACGGCAATCCAGCGCTTTTTAGGAAATTGGCCATTTTCGCAAACAAGCGCTGCTTGGCTTGGCGGGGAACTAGGTCCGGAAATTTGCCGGAAATCAGCTCTAGGAACTGATCCGGACGGCTGCATACGGTGGGTAGGTTTCTCTCAAAATTTCGAGATTTCATAGTGTCGAAATTCAGAATATCGAAATCCACATAGGCTAATTTTTCCGGAAAGATACCCGAATCCTAGGCAAAAAATGACTACATGTTGAATTTTAACGTTACGAAATTTTGGCTGACTGACAGAACTCGGCCCTCAAGAGAAGTCGGAAAAGTCGCCTCTCTGGAACCAACAAATGCTACTAGTTTCAAGGAAATGAAGCTGAGTAACTCTCGCCCATTCAAAATCAAATCACGCGCCGTTTCACGATGCCATTAACAGGTCACATGGGCGTATTCTGCTTACTGTGAGCAATTACTTCCGTAGGAGCGCACGGTCAGCAGACACTACCGCTCAAATTGGCTGACTACTCCCTCGTATCGGCCCGACTCGATTGCATTGGGCGCTATTAGAGACGGCGCATAGGTACTAGCCGCTGGATTTTGGTCTCAACCGTGTCTGAATGTTGGTCTCAAAGATGAATCTGGGCCCAGAAATCATGTGAAATAGCGCGGATCCTAAGCTTAAGTCTAAGCCAAAGCCTAAGCATCACCTAAGCCTGAAATTAAGCCTAAGCTTAAGCCTAAGCCTAAGCCAAAGCCTAAGCGCAGCCTAAGCCTAACCCTAAGCGAAGCCAACGTCTAAACGCACGCCTAAGATTAAGCCGAAACCCAACCCTAAGCCTAGGCTTAATCGAAGCCCAAACGAAGCCTATGTTTATACCTAAGCCTATGCCTAAGCGACGCCTAAGCCCAAACAATGTCTCCTTCTCCCCCTGGAAACCACAACCAAAATCAGATTCGACGCCGCCGAAGCGTAGCAATGTGAGAGCCTGCCAGGAGTAAATGAAATTTCGGCGTGTTGTAGATTGATGTTTACCGGGGGAAACGGTTTTACTAGCACAAAATAGGCTGCAAGCGCTGTTTTTGCAATTACAAATACTATTGAAGGTGAGACAGAGAGAGAGAGAGGGAGAGAGAGAGAGAGAGAGAGAGAGAGAGAGAGGGAGAGAAATTCGTGTGGCTTGCGACTGTTCAAGAGTTGTTGAAGACTCAAAACCCGGGGAACCTGAAACTCGAGCCGCCCTATCTTTCCGCGGGGATCGGCTTACTTGAGGTAATCCTCCTGAGAGCCAGCGTTCCCCGAAAACAAACGAATCGAGGTAGACACTTTCAAAAATGGTCAGAAACTGAGACGCATCATCGGAATAAAATATATAGGGCATTATAATCGGGCCGCCTGGCCCTGTCTTGGCTTAAAAATTGGGCCACTTTAGCCGCTTCGCTTGAGACATCGGACTCCCTGGTCATGGTCCACTTTATAGCAGAATCATATTGGGCAGTGCAGTGATCTCTCTCTCCCTCCCCCTCTCTCTCTCTCTCTCTCTCTCTCCTCTCTCTCACTCACTCTCTCTCTCTATCTCGCTGCTTTTCTTAGGATCTGGTTTGTCAAAGACAAATAGTGGAAGTGTCTGTAAATGTTCTTTTACTTTTCGTAAACGTGAAGACTTTAGAAACCTGTCCTAAAAATGCCAAAAATATCGATTTTTCGTCCGAAATTGCCGATTTTTGACGAAATTTCGACTTTTCAAAGATTGTAAATAGTTTTCTAGTTGAATTATAGTTTTGTAATTCTGAAAAAAGCTATAACAAATTAGAGATTCTGAAAATTCGAGAGACAGTACAATATTCCTAGACATCAACTGGCAACGGGACCGCCGATCAGCCGAGTGCCGGTGTGTGCCCCCCGGCCTTCTAATTGAAAATAGGAGCGCATATTCGAGTGGCACTCCCCAGGGGATCGACGACTGGCCCTCAACAGCAAGACGAGCCGCGCAAAAATAGTTTTCTGAAGGTTATTACCGAGAAAATGGCCCGCGCGGACCGTGAAAATATTTGGCCGCCGAGATTTTTTCGGTCTGGAATAGAAATATTTTTGGTCATTGGAAGGGTAGTGGAGGATCTTCGGCTTAGCCGCTATATTCAGTAAAAAGAACAAGAGGATGGAGTTTGTGCGGAGAGAGAGCGAGAGAGAGACAGGGAGCGAGAGAAAGCCAGAGACCGAGAGAGGGGAAGAGAGAGAGGGGGAGAGAGATCGAGAGAGCTAGAGAAAGAGATACAACGAGAATGAGAGAGAGAGAGCTAGAGAAGGATACAGAGCGAGAGAGAGAGGGAGAGACAGACAGAGAGAGAGAGAGAGAGAGAGACCGTAACAACATTATTTTAAGTAAATGCCACTGTATCCGAATATAACCTACAATACTCCGTACAACACTGTAATCATCATACCATGCAAAATTCGGTTTTCGGGGGCCATAATGAGGATCTACTACGTGCAAAATTGCAGACAACGTACGACAACAAACCCGTAGGGACACGGGATTGCGTAACGAATGAAATTCCGGCAAAATGTATTTTTCCCGTTTCTACGTAAGGCAAAATCCTGCAAAGACGGCGACCTTTGCTTAGGCTTAGGCTTAGGATCGGCTTAGGCTTCGGCTTAGGCCTAGGTTTAGGCACCGTCCCGGTAAAATCATTTAAAAATTCGCAGGACGGAATGGGCCATGTCCGCGCCGACGTGCCCCCAACCCCCCGTGACGCATTTAAAATTTAAATGCCCCGGAAAACCCTTCATTGGGTGTTCGTTTTATGGGTGCACCTCCCACCCGCCTAGCGGAATGCCATTAGGGCCCGTTTAGGGTCCCAGGAAGGGCCCACACTCGTTAGGTTGGCCGGGGCGAAAAACGCAAAAACGCGAAAACAGGTCTCTTTCTCCTTGGGTCCGTCTTGAGCCGTTGGGCCCGCCTCGGCTTCGAAAATAGCCGTGCCCCGGAAGCTCTTCGGAGCTCCGGAATGTTGATTTAGCGGGATGGGGCACGTTCTCCTGAAGCCAATCAGCGATGCGCCGGAAGCGTCGTTTGGGTGGAGGTGGAAAAACAGAGCAACATCTCCATCTCAACAAAATAGGTTGAGACAAAAATAATTCGACAAACGACAAAAGATCTAGACTTAAGCCTAGTTTGGGATTGGGCTTAGCTTGGGCGCAAGCCCATTTTAGGGCTTAAGTTGTTGCTAGGGCTTAGGCTTAGGCTTAGGAACAGACTTAGCTTTGGATTGAGTACAGGAAGAAGACCAGCTGGGACGTCCAAGCCATTCTGGGCGCAATTTGTGAGACACATCCGCTTTCGGATCCCGTTGTCCACCTCCAAAATTCGGTTATACCGGCCTGTGGGGCCAGCAGCTGATGGGGAATCGCCGCCAAAAAGACAAAAGCAGATTCCAGGCCGTTTCCCGTCTTGCTGAAGGATTCGGATTCGGGACAAAACCCGAATATTTCTATCAACTATAATAAAAAAGTAGTGGTGTCTGTCCGTCCGTCCGTCCGTCATGTCCCGGATTCAACTCGAAGGGGAAAGGAGCTAGAGCTTAGCTCTCTTCGGATTCGGATAGAGCGCCGTCAGAAACCCCCAAACTGATAAAAAAATTATGAAAAAGTTTTAGTTTAAATTATTAAAATTAACTTTGAAAGTGGCGCCTTAATAAAACCAGTGGGGGCCCCTCTAACGGGAGGCCACGCCCCCTTTCCCTTCGCCCCGCTTCCCCAGGCCCTTTCCCGCGTCCAAATAGCTTTTTAAGTTACTTTAATACTTTTAATACTTTTTAATTATGTTAATTAATTATTTAAATTATTTAAAGTATCTAAAGCCATCAGGAAGGTATTTAGGTAGTTTTTGAAGGGGATTTCAGCCATGGGGGGTATCTGAAGCCATCAGGAAGGTATTTAGGTAGTTTTTGAAGGGGATTTCAGCCATGGGGTGTATCTGAAGCCATCAGGAAGGTATTTAGGTAGTTTTTGAAGGGGATTTCAGCTATGGGGGGTATTGATGGAGGTGGGAAAGGATGTGGTGAAGTGGGACATGTAGGGTAGCCCGAAGGCCAGATGGTTGCAGTCGCGAAGCGACTGTAACCATCTGGTAAGGCTATAATTGTCTAGCAACTGAATAGAAAGTGTTTTAATAGTATTTTTTGCACTACATAACACTATTTAAACTAGAGAACCTATCCAAGAATTTAAAAAAAGTAGATTTTTGTTCATAATCGGCCATTTTCGGTTGAAAAATCAATATTTTGATTTTTTTCACGACAACTTTGTGAAGTTTTGCACTTATAAGAATAGTAAAAAGTTATTTAGAAACACTTCCACTATTTAAAAATTTAAAAACTAAGATTCTAAAAAAGTTGGTCTCCGCTAACGCAAAAAAAACCGCCTTTGCTAAAATTGGGATGATAAGCACGGCAGCACCTAAATTTATCCTTTCCCACCCCTTTAATTCGGAACACTCGTGTCTCAGTTGTTTATTCAAAAAGTCGGACCCTATACGACCCCATCCTCCTTCCGGTCTGCCTTAGCCCTCCAACATATGGCCGGACCGGGCCTGGGCAGCTTTTTTGCGCATTTTTTGCGCCCACAGCGGCTCAGCCGCAACTTTATGAGGCGCCCTCACTTTACAATGGCCACACTCAACTCACACTACCGGCATTTGGCCGCGGTACCGGCTTCTTTTCGTTTGTTCCTAAGCCTAAGCCTAAGCCTGAGCCTGAGCCTAAGCCTAAGTCTAAGTCTAAGCCTAAGCCTACGCCTAAGCCTAAGCCTAAGCCTAAGCCTTTGCCTAAGCCAAGCCCAAGCCTCCTAGCCGTTCGTATACAAAGAATTTGGGCTTCGGAAGCCCATGTTTTGTTGTTTTTGAGGGGGATTGGAACATCTGGAACCAATCTAGATTTCATGGTCCCTCTGACAAAACCGGTGAACCGCAAACAACTTTCAAAGCTCTTCCTAGGAATCGAAGATATCTTTAGAAATTTAGATTTGTTTTTATAACCATTTTTTCGTAATTCTGTGGTTTCTTACCAGACCAAGCCTATCTTGTGCTGAATTTTGCGCTGATTCCGAGCCTGTTTTTAAAGTCTGAAAAACGAACAGATCGATAAAGTTATGAATCTTTTTAGGTGCGCAAAAGGCAAAAATTTTCCTAAATTGGGCAAGTCTTACTACATTTACCTAACTTAAACACTTTCATCACTTTTTAAATTTTATCGTTTCGCAGATTTTGAAAAATAGCCGATTTGCGCGGGTTTTTAGCTTTAAATCGTATATAGCTTTCGAAAAATGGCTATTCCGCGAACACGGTAACCATATTCGGAATCAGCGCAAAATTCCGCACAAGATAGGCTTGGTCTCGTACGCTCGATTGTCACTAAAATACATCTTGTTAGTGTTCCGGTACCACCGTGACCATGCTGAAAATCCTGTTTCTGCTCGTCATCACCGCGAGCACGGTCGCGTTGCCCTGGGGCGAGGTGTGCGATAGGTGATTCAGTAGCTGGAAGTTTTGAAGTCACGACGCGCTTTAGATGCGTGCAAATGGTCGAACGACTACGGCAGCTCCCCGTCGAAGATCTCAATCAGGCTGTTGGTTTTTAAAAACAGATAATTTTGCATGCTTTTTAAACACCCTAAAATCCATTTTTTAGCGCCTGCAGCACATTTGCTTCGAATCATATGTGCGCTGCTCACACGGGAATAAGGTTGGTCCGGCTGTTTTTCGCTTATAAGGCTCCGCTAAGCCTAAGCATAAGACGAATCCCGGCTTATGTCTATGCATAAGCCTAAGCCTAAGCCTAAGCCTAAGCCTAAGCCTATGCCTAAGCCTAAGTCGAAGCCTAAGCCTATGCCTAAGCCTAAGCATAAGCCTAAGCTTAAGCCTAAGACGAAGCCTAAGCTTAGGTCTGTGCCTATGCCTAAACCTAAGTCTAAGTCTAAGCCTAAGCCTAGGTCTGGCCCATTCTTTTTTATTTAGTACTGCTCACTTTGGTATCTCACCGAGGAGCGCGTCCACCGGATCCAGGCTGAGCTTCAGGTTCGCTTACGTCAAAAGATTTTACAAAATTGAATTTTCCAGCAGGGAGGCCGCAACGCCCAGGTATGCGATCGTGCCCTGGAGATATGCCGAATCGAATAAAACACGCTTCTTGGGCTTTTTTTGATTTGTGATTTTTGTACTTTTAAACTTTTTTTGAACAATTTTCTTATCAACAATTCCAACATCAATTTTGTGACATAAATTGGCGTGATAAATGAAAATTTTTGAACGAATTTTGGGGGCAATCACAATATTTTTCAGAACAAACCGGAAAAAGTCCTTTTTAGAGCTTTGTTAATGTGATACCCTGACAGGGAGACGATTCGAGCAGCACTTGGAGGTGGGAGAGATCGATCTAGATTCTGATTTTCAAGAATTTATGCGTGGCGCACCGGATTCTTCTTGTCGACCAAAACGACGGCACAGCCACCCCATCCGGCTCCGGTGAGCCTCGCCCCCAGAACGCCTGCCGACCTATACAGGGTGTCCCAAAAAAAACGAACCATCTGGCATTTCGCCGTGTTACATTCAATCGGCCCAAATTTTGGACCAGAGGTGTAGGAGACCCTAAATAACAACAATCCTGACTTTTAGCCCCGTAGCTACAGTCGTTCTCGAGTTATAACGAAAATACTGTTTTTCAGAGAATTCTGAACAGTTTTTCGGCTATCTTTTTGGACTTTGCATCGATTTGCATCGACTTCCGGCTGCGAATCCCTAATTTCGCTTAAGAACCGGGGTAATTTTGCGTTGTAAAAATCGCTTAAATCGAAGAGTATTTAATTAATTTAGTCGGGAAAAAATTGCTTACGGTAAAGAAGGCCTACCGGATCATTTTCACTTAATGTTTAGGGGGTCTAATTCCACGAAAACACTATGAAAAATAGAAAATAAAGTTTGTTTTTTGCCATAACTCGAAATCTACTGTAGCTACAGGGCTATAAGCCAGGATTGTGGTTATTTAGGGTCTGATACACCTCTGGTCCAAATTTGGTTCCGATTGGATGTAACACGGCGAAATGCCAGATGGTTCGTTTTTTTTGGGACACCCTGTATATAATAATCTTCGGTTCTTTCGCATTATCGGGGGGAATCAACTTTTTTCTTTGGATCCCTTTTCAATTAGAAATAGTGCAAGTGTCTCTCAACGGTTTTTTACTATTCTTAAACGTGAAAACTATACAAATTTTTATTAAATAACATCAAAAAAAAATCGATTGTTCGACTAAAAGATCTGATTTATGAACAAATATCCACTTTTTTACATATTTGACGTTTTTTAGATAGTTTTTCTAGTTTAATTATAGTTATATATGGTACCAAAAACATTATTAAAACACAAATGCGGTAAACAAAGAAAGTTGCAAACTAGGCTGATAGTAACAGCTCATACCTGCTCGCTTCAACCAGCTTGTCCAAACCCGGGCTGCTGCAATCATAGTCGACCTTCAAACTAAAAATATGGCTAAACTTTAAAAACTAAAAAAACATCTAAAAAAAAAAAAAAAAAATAAACTTACCTATCATGGCTGCCATTCATCAGCCTCCCCATCTCCACCAAGTCGCCCCGCTGGCAGGCTTCTTCGAAAAGAGCCACACGATGTGCTTCACCATAGCAGTGACGGGCTCGCGCACGCACGTGGAATGCAGTCACTTTAAAAAGGGATTGCTTACATCTCTGACTCTCGATCTATGTCGCTCTCTCGCTCTCTCTCTCTCTCTCTCTCTCTCTCTTTCTCTCTCTCTCTCTCTCTCTCTCGCACTGTCTCTCTCACACTGTCTCTCTCGCACTGTCTCTCTCTTTCTCTCTCTCTCGCTCTCTCTCTCTCTAACTCACTATGCTTGGTATTCTCCGAAAGCAGAGCATCAAAATGTTCGCGTCCAATAATGGCGACCACCTCGTCAAGTGTTGGATTTTCTGGTAGCACCTCTTCGACCTATTCCCTTACAGTGAAAATTTTGCCGGAACCTTACCAGCCTCAACAGCTCGCTCAATGATTTTCCCGACGCGTCTTCGACTTGTTTCAGCTTCCGAAAGGCGCCCCAATCCGGCAGGTTCAGGTGCTTTCCGAGGATCTGGAAGGTCGGGTTTTATCCGGTCTTTAAAGGGATCAGGAAGGCTCAGGAAAAATTAGCATGAAACTGGTTTTAGTTCTAAAATTAGCAAAATCTTGTCTGCTCCCTCCTGCCTCGCCCCACTCTCTGCCCATTTTTTTGCATTAGCATTTCCGGTTTGCTCGTTAAAAAATATAGATAAGGACTGATCTACTGGGCCTTCCTGATCCCTTTAGCGTAAACGTGGCTGCGCTTTCGGCTTACCTGAGCTCCAATGCGGCATTCAATCACCCGCTCGTTGTAGTGAGAAGATGCCGCTTTGTTCAGTGTATCTCCTGAAATCCTAGATCGCGGCACACTTTATATATTCCGGCATTCCGAACTTCGACGTCATGAAATTTCGACATTCCGATTTTCCGCATTCGGAATCTCGGCGCTTTGATTTTCGGCGTTTTAGAAAAAAACCCCTACCCGAGTGCAGCACCACAAAAAGCGCATCTCCGGGCAGTTTGACCGGGCGTGACTTCAGCGGGTTGAAGTCGATGCGCAATGCTGCGCCGAGTGGAGAGAGAACCTTGGAGAGAGAGAGAGAGAGAGAGTGTGTTGAAAGGTTGAAATTGAGTCGGCTATTGGATAGCTTGTTCTGTTAGAAACCGCCGGCACTTTGGAACTTGAGTCAAGTCGAAAATTTTGGCGTTTTCTCCTACCTCACTGGCCTGATCCATGCCGCCACCGCATGTTCCGATCATCTGCTCGGCCTTTGCGCACAAATCAGCTAACCATTCCCTAGGAAGATGCTATAGAGGATCAGAGAGTGAAAGAGGGGCAGAGAGAACGAGAGAGAGAGAGAGAGAGAGAGAGAGAGAGAGAGGAGCAGGGGGACTTCCAGAAACCTCGTGAACTTCTCGGTGAACCCCTCGCCGGTGTGGAGGGCGAGCGTTGCCAGAGCTGAGGCACAGACCAGGCTCGACGATGAGGAGAGACCGGATGCTGGCGGGATGGTTCCTTTAAAGGAAGACCGATAAGAAAGCGTTTAGGCTTAGGCTTGGCTTAGGCGTTAAGCTTAGCTTAGCTTAGACCGAGGCATTGGCTTAGCCTTAGATTTAGACTTAGGCTTAGGTTAGGCTTCGCACCTTTCATCAGCACGTTCATGCCCTTCTGGTCCTTGTCTTGCACTCCGATGGCATCGAGCACTCCCCTCCAGCCGCAGAGCACGTAGTGGAACCACTTGGGCGGTGTCGTACCCTTCCAGTCAGATGGTAGCGCTACCGTATACTCTCTAGAATGCGGATTGGCATAGATCTCTTTTTTTCTTAGGGTCTCATTTTAAAATAGAAATAATGGAAGTGTTTTTAACTGGTTTTTTATTATTCCGAAACGTGACAACTTTACAAATTTTTGTTAAAAAACAACAAAAAGATCGATTTTTAGACCTCTCCAAAGACATACGGGTACTTTCCATCCTCGGCATTCCTGAGCACGATCTTTTGCTCTTTGTTTTCGGTTATCAACAGCTCAGTGCCGAGTGCGATTGCCATCGGCAACACCCCGTACCCATTATAATCAATGTGTTCGCCTAAAAAAAACGTTTAAGATTATCCGACTCCTTCAAATTACCAATTAAATTGACACGACCGGGGCATCGAATGTGGTGGGTTGGCCGCATGCCAAATGCCTTCTCAAATGCCGCCTCCATACCTATCGCTGCAAAAACGGGAACTCCCTAGTCAGAGTAAAAACAACAAAATCTTTATTCAAAAATAGAACGCTGGAAAAATTCTAGTTCTAAAACGAATCCTGACAATGTTCTTTTCCAGAACCGACATTCTAAAACTAATAGCTACCCGAATCCATCTGCCTCATATGCAAAAGGCCCGCGGGCGATGCGTGATAAGGCTGTTTGCCTTTTCCCGCCTTTTGATATGGACGGGCCATAGAACCAATGAAGATTTAAACATTACTAAAATTGTAATATTAATAGTTACCATTATAAGGGCCTTACGGTGCTACAGTGAGTGTCAAAACGATAGAGCCACCGCTTCGAAGGCTATTATCTCGGCCCTCATCGTTTTTTATGCAAAACCAACTAGCAGGTCTTGTAGTGCTCGAAAAAGGCGCATTTTTCCATGTACTTGACGTTTTTCAAAAAAAGAGCATGCTATTTTTATCAGCAGAAAACAAAATAGAGCCAAAAATCCGAAGTGTCAAAACGATAGAGCCACACTTTACATATCATTAGCATCCAGTTTCAACTTGCAAATTACATTCTAATGAACATTCAAAGTGAATTACCATTTCCGACTTCCGGAATTTTTAGGTTGCTGGTCAATCTGCATAGATTTCAACTTCGTATCAGCAATTAGAATGTAATTTGCAAGTTGGAACTGGATTCCTGATGATATGTAAAGTGTGGCTCTATCGTTTTGACACTTCGGATTTTTGGCTCTATTTTGTTTTCTGCTGATAGAAATAGCATGCTCTTTTTTCGAAAAACGTCAAGTACATGGAAAAATGCGCCTTTTCGAGCACTACAAGACCTGCTAGTTGGTTTTGCATGAAAAAACGATGAGGGCCGAGATAATAGCCTTCGAAGTGGTGGCTCTATCGTTTTGACACACACTGTATTGTCAACTTTCTTAAATTATGGTGTTTTGATCTAGAATTAAATTTTGAGTATATTTTTTGATGCCCTACCGGGCGCGATAATGTAGTCCTCAAAAAATAATTAAATTTTTAAAAATACGACTAAACCCCCCGCTAACGAACCAGTACCTCAAATAATTATCAAATAGAAGAAAATTAAATTTGTCGAAAAACCGAGGATTTAGAAAAAATTACAAAATCTTATCATAAACAATTCAATAATGACCAGGGTTGAAAAGCCGCTTCGCGACTTTTCAACCCTGGCCCCGTCTGCCCCTAGGATATTCTCCACTTTGCATGATTTTCCTGGATTCCGATAAGCAAAAAATGAAAATCGTTTCCTCTTTCCCGTTATATAGGCGATCGCCACTTCCGGCGCATGCTAATTGATTCCTAACAAAGAGAGTCTCCAATTTTGCAACAAAAACTTAAACTTAATAGCGAAAATAGGTGATTTTGTTAAATATCATGTGTGTGCAGTCATCTCCTGACCATTACGCACCGAATGAAGTATCGAACATATCCCTAAGTACTTCCCTTCTTGAGATACTACTGGAACACGGTGACGGAAGTTGCATGCAAAGTGGCACAGACACACACACAAACACTATTTTTTTATATATAGTAGGAATAGTAGGATACTTTGCGGACGGTCTTTTTAGTAGTTCGAAAAGAATAAAAATTGCCGGAAAAACCGGGTGTGGTCTGCTGGAAATTGGCCAGCACGGCACCTATTGATTTTTTGCAAGCGAACAGACTGGCCCGAGTTTTCAGAGAATGCTCCATTTTTCAAAACAATACTTTTTCCGACAGGGTTTTTAAAAACTATTTTTTAACTTTGCATAACTATCTTATGTGGCCTACGCAACGTCAGGAAAAATAGATAGGAAAATGGTTCTTTGGCATTATCGGGGGAGGGAAATTTTTTGTACAAATCTAGAAATGCCTGGTAACTGAATAGAAAGTGTTTGTATAGTTTTTATCAATATATAACTATATTTCAACTAGAAAACTATCTGAAAGGTTCCAAAAACTCGACATTTTGGTGAAAAACGGCCTTTTTGTTGGAAAATTGATAATTATGATATTTTTTAGTAAAAATTTTAGAAACTTTAGACGTTTAGATAGTAAAAAACATTTAGAAACGCTTCCACCATTTATATTTGAAGAATGACACCATAAGACAAAACTTGTTTTGAAAAATGTTTCCGCTTCTCCGCTTTACCCCGAAAACTGCGTCTAACTGCTTGTTTTTTGTATTTGTAGGTTTCAGTGCTTGCGCTCAATTATTTTTCATCTGCTTTACTCGTCAACACCAACACTTAAAGATGGAGAGATGGAGGCAGGGTAAAAATGATGATTAGATGGAAGCGCGGCGTCGAGAGCGTGGGAAGGCACACGGACACACACACATACGCACACGGGAGCATCACGTCCAGGAGAGAAAGAAAACAGGATGGACCTTGAAAAAAATGGGGGGAGGGGGAGGGTTGATAGAATTCCGGAACGGGGCATGTAACGGGGGAATTTCGCGCTATTTTCGATCGACGCAAGTGGGGGGGATGGTTGCGTTCATGGATTGCTGTTGGAGGCGCCGGCGTCAGGCGCACGCCTAAGCCTAAGCCTAAGCTTAACCTAAGCCAAGCCTAAGCCTTGACCTAAGCCTAAGCCTAAGCTTAACCTAAGCCAAGCCTAAGCCTTGACCTAAGCCTAAGCCTAAGCTTAACCTAAGCCAAGCCTAAGCCTTGACCTAAGCCTAAGCCTAAGCTTAACCTAAGCCAAGCCTAAGCCTTGACCTAAGCCTAAGCCTAAGCTTAACCTAAGCCAAGCCTAAGCCTTGACCTAAGCCTAAGCCGAGCCTAAGCCTAAGCGAATGACGTCGGCGGCTCGCTAGAAACAGGGAGGAAGGCTAGGCACGCGCTATTCGAATATACAGAATTGGAGAACAAAGCGACCATTGCTGGTGGAGCACTAAAAAAACGATTTTTGGTGGTGGTGGTGGCTGTACACAAAAGAAGAATCGCGACGACGAACGGGGCGGGAAGGAGCAGCAAATTAAATTAGACGACCAGGTCGGCGATGAATCAACGGTTTAGTACTCCTCATCGGCGACGAAGATCTGTAAAAAACCCATATTATGTCAGGCCGTCCCACAAAAAAACCACCCCCTCCCCCACTAGCGGCCCGCAGATGCATCCGATTTTGACGCTTTAGGTATCTATCGAAAGCTCTCGAAAAGCCGAGGAAACAAGAGCGGCTGGTTTTACAATATAGGTATTTTAATTCACGAATTTTAGGACAAAAGCCATGAAAACTGCAAATTTTATGCAAAATATGCATGGAATGGCTTGCTAAAGCGAAAAGCACGGTTGCTGATTTTAAGGTTTTTAAGAAATTTTTTAATATCCCGCGCGGGTTAAATTTTTATTTAAAGAAAATTTTTAGGATGTTTTGAATTAGTTTGCATAAAATTAGAATGTCTAAAATCGGAACACCTAAATTTAACAATTTATAAACTCAGAATGCATAAATGTCAAGATGCAAAAATTTCAAAATGTATAAATTTCCGAATGCATAAATTTTGGAATGCTAATTTTGGAATTTGACGTGGTAAATTCAGTGCGCGGCTACAAAATTGACTATTACACAATTTATGCACTTCGTTATTTATGGATTTTGAAATTTTATACATTCTGAAATTTTTGCATTCTGAGTTTAAGCATTATGAATTCTAGGCATTCAGAACTTCAGGCATTCTAATTCTATACAGTCTGAATTTAAGCATTCTAATTTTATGCATTACGATAGCAAATCCGCCACTTACCCTGCTTCCGGATTTTCCGCCGGCCACTGTTCCACGGTGCTTGGCACGGATCAGGTTCAACGAGCTCTCGGCCTGGAAAATGGATCAATCCCTACAACCGCCAGCCCTCAAATTGGTGATTATGGATAGGTTGGAGGGTTTTACTACCTGATCGGCACGGCCCTCCGCATCTTCCAGCTCGCGTTGGTACCGCCTGACACGCTGCAGGTTGGCCATCGTCACTCCCTCCTGAAAATTCAGAATATGCAACAGTTACTGGCAACAAAAATAGGTGTTGTTTTGTTGTGGAATTGGGGGAACAAGTAAGGGTGGAAACGGCCAAAATGGGGTAGATTTTTTCCCTAAAAATTTCTGTAAATGTAAGTACGGTATGTCTAGTATTTACGGTAAAAACGGTTTTGCCTCTTTCGCGGGGGTGTTACCTTGCAGCGATAGCGCTGGTTGTAAGCCCGGTAAATTTCTGGGTTCTGTAATTTTTTTCTGAGATGGCTTTGAAGAGATTTCGGCAAGATCTTGATACCCAGGCCTAAGCGAAGCCTAAACCTAAGCTTAAGTTAAGCCTAAGCCTATGCCGAAGCTTAAGCCCAAGCCTAAGCCCAACCCAAGCCCAAGCCTAAGCCTACCCCTATATCTAACCTAAGCCTAACGCAATCCTAAGCCTAAGCGAAAGCGAATGCCTAAGCCTAAGCCTAAGCCTAAACCTAGGCCTAAGCCAAGCCTAAGCCAAGCCTAAGCCAAGCCTAAGCCAAGCCTAAGCCTAAGCTTAAATCATGCCTAAGCCTAGGACTAGGTCTGAGCCAGGCCTAAAAGTCCCACAAAACGTACTGATTCGGACAGTTGTCTCTTCTGGATGTTCAGCTTCTCCATCAGCCGGTCGGCCGTGTCCTGGGCCATCACAAAGTTCTTGTGCTCCTCGTCGACCTGCTGTTGGACTTCCTTGACGCGGCGGTCCTTCTTGCGGAGGGCGTTCAGGGTCTCCTTGTGTCTTCTGCCTTCCTCATCAAGAGCCGTCTCCAAGTCGCGGATGCGGGTCTCCAGCTTGGCGATAACGCGCTTTCCGCCGAGGAGGGCGGCAGCTTCCGCTTCCTGGATCTGCACCTGCAGTTGCTTGCACTGCTCCTCGAGGCTCTTCCTCAGGGCATCGATCTTCATCGAGTGCTCCTGCTCCTCGTGCAGCTGCTCAACAGCTCGGGCGGCGTCGGCGAGGGCGCGGTTGGCGCGCTCGTCGG